ACCCCCCGCCAAGCAACGAAAACCCAAACCAACCAAAAAAAAAAAAAAAAAAAAAAAAAAAAAAAAAAAAAAAAAAAGGGAGCAGGAAAGTGTATTCTGCCTAGCTCGGCTGTTGGCCTGGGGAGAGAACAGAGAGACCTGGTGGCAAATTAGCCCTCATCTGCTTTAATCCATCCCTTATTTACTGGAGTTGCAGGGGGTGGGGACTGTTGACACTGATGTGGCCCAAGCTCGCCCCAGGCCAGAGGCCTCCCCAGGACACCTGATTGGCCCTGGTTGAAAATCTGGGGGCAGGCTACTCCCAGCAGCTTGAGAGTGGGGGTCACACAGCCCGAGTTCCCTCCCCAGGGTCCTGTGCACCAAGGCCACCCCTCACCACCCCCTCCTGTCTGCTCGGTGATGGTCAATGCTGCGTATCATCCAGATACTAGGATTATGAGCCTGAAATAAAAGGGGGCTGGGGAAGACCCTCCCCTCCTGAAGGCACATCGGGCAAAGTACTTTTTTGTTTTCTTAACTAAACCAGCAAATAGATCTCAGGCTTCCTTCAAACTACTCAGTCCATCTTGACAATCACCTTTGAGGCCCCACACTTGAGTTTAATGATGGGAGCTGCCTGCAGCATCTCAGGTCCCTGCACCCATCAGGGGCTCGTGGCTGAGTCTAGATGGTGGTGGATTCCAGGGAACCTAACTTGGGGGTCAGACACTGCCTTGGGACAGAAACCTCCTGTCACCTGACCAGGGTCTCTGGGGCTGGGAGGAAGCCACTAAAGGAACTGCAATAATCTCAGGACAGGTGGCAGTTGGGTTTCCTAGTGAAGAGGTCCTCGGGGAGTAGAAGAGCAGGAAGTGAGCCTGGGACGATAGAATAAAGAAGAGGGGTGTGGGTGAAAAGAAAGCAAACCGCGGAGGGAGAGGCAAAGAATCAGGGCTTGGGCGGGGGAGCGTCGAATACCTGCTAATCGGGATTGTGGCCAAGAGGAAATTAGAAATGACCACAGGTCAGGCCAAGAGGATTGACCAGGATTTCTTAAATGAAACTAAGGAACTGCCAGGTCATATCCTTTGGGCCTGCTGAGAACTCATCAGGCCTCCTCCCCCTGCCTGTGGCCCACTCTGATTAGCCAGTGCCCGGGCTAAGAGAGATGACCCAGCCAACTCACCCTGGAAACCTTAACACCTCTCCAGCCAACAAAGACCCTCTTGGTGGCCCTGCTCCTACCAGGTGCCAAAAAACCCCAAGCCCCACTCACCAAGTTCAGAGAAGTTTAAGAAAAGCAGATTATGCATAAACATTACAGATTAGCATTTCCTGGCTGGGATTTTGAGAAGGAGCCAGGGAAATTAAGCAGTCCCTCCCATGAAGGAGCTTCTCAGGGGGAACACCTATGAAAACAATGGGACAGATTCAGGGAGCAATCCATGATCACATGCAAAGGATTGTGTGAGGGGTTAACTCCATAACTGCAAGCGGGACAGTCGGGTAAGGGTCAGCCTCCCTGCATCCCGCTCTGGGTCACCTGATAACCATACTCAGGGCTCAGGCATCTGCCGGCAGAGCACCAAGTACCCACCTGTCTGTATGTCCTGAGGCTCCACACTGAGTTCACCCAAAGCTAGGCTGGAGAATTCCTGAGATCTGGGCCCCCAGCACACCCCTTCTGGCCTGCTGCTGGTACCCTGGAAAGCTGGGTGCTATACTTCAGGAGCATCTTTACCACTCTTCCAGGCCCCCTTCCCTTCCCAGACACTGTCATCCTCCCCCATGGCTTCAAGTGCCACCTTGGAGGCTCATGACACCTAAACCATCCCATCAGCCCAGACCTCTCTCCCAGCTCCAGAATTGATTTTCCAACCCAACCGAATGTGGTTGTCCCATAAATCCTCACACTCAACCGGGTCTGATGGCGACTTCATCTTTCCCTTAAGCCTCTCCTCCAACATTCCCCCACTTCAATGAACAGCACCGCTCATGTCGCCTAAAGCCATCCTGCTGAGTCAAATCCCTCCTTTCCACCCCACACCCCCCAAACTCAGGCATCAGGCTCTGACGCTTAGAGAGAACACAGCAGCGTCTTGCCCTCCTTCGCCTATCACCCACTCCGTCACCAGAGCCGCATCCCAAAACAAAAATCCAATCACCAGGGGCTTCCCTGGTGGTGGCGGTTGAGAGAGTCCGCCTGCCGATGCAGGGGACACGGGTTTGTGCCCCGGTCCGGGAGAATCCCACATGCCGCGGAGCG